ATATGATCATTGCAAATCACCCTGGCGCATATTGACATACAAAATGCACCCGCCACAGTCATATGCAGTATTCACGATTCTATGCTCACACAAATCCGATTGCTCGGCTCGAGTTCCTCCCTTGTGTTGCGTGGTTTCATTGTTGAACCGGGCCATCATATACACGCTGCTTCCCCACATTCCTGATCCACAATCGACAAAATCTTATCTGACTCGGGCCCAGAACTCGCCATTCGGCGTCGACAGCCACCCTTCTGAGATGAAACATTCCGAGAATATTTGCTTGGTGCACGTGAGTGTACGTGCAAGCTCAGGAGAGACAAATACGAATTTATGATGGGGGATGGGCAGATATGTGTACCGAGCCTGGTGACTTGGGTTTGATGAATTGGCGAGGTTCAAAAGGAGCACAAGAAGCTGCCCTGAAGAAGACAGCTGTATGAGGTGCTGAGGTGCTGAGGCACTGTTGAGCTACTGTGTATTTTCGACTAGCTTTGCACATTTGACTAGCCTTTTCTTGTCTCGTAGCATGAGGCTTACACATTTGAGTTCTTTAACGGCGACGAGCAGTCTATCCACAGCGGCCCCGTTGGCTTGACGCTCTCTTCGCTATTATCTAGTGTGGTTTTTCAGACCTATTCCCCGTGTAGTAGCTGCACGAATTGGTTTTTTTTCATGTGTACTGGTTTTTGCTTTTCTACCTGCCTTGCGAGCGACGGTGGCTCGGTAACTTTTCTGCTGTTTTTCATGCATTTGGTCTCGACGTACACATAGAATACACGAGTGGTAGTGTGTTAAAATGGAGGGGTGAGTTGTAGCCAAGCTACACTTTGGCGCCTGCTACAGTAATTATACTTCAATAAGGATTAGCCGAAGGAACTGATTAGGTCTTTTGTCTGTCCGTATAGCTGATTAATTGTGAAGTGTTTTTTGTTAAATATAAGAAGACACAATTCTGCTGCAATGTTGCATACGTGCGCGCTAGGTGCTATGTATACCGATCTCCGAATGCCACATAGTTCCTCGAGGATGAAGCTAGGCACACACTCAGGCGTCCTCCTACCCTTTTGTCGGGATCTCCGGGGGCTGAGGATAGGGGAAGGTTGGAGTTCTTTTCGAAAACAATGATCTGAGATTGCATTAAGACTGGAGCCATATGCCAGGTTTCCTGCTGACACCCTCGATGGAACGCTACACTTGAAGTTTGAAGCCTGAGAGTCACTGGCAGAGAAAGTAAGAAGCTGTTTGAGAAAAATTTAATGTACTAGGCTTGCACTGATTGTTAAGTGAGATGTCTCCATACGAAGACCTTTTTCAAGAGGGGATCCTCCAATTCGTACATTGGTAGAGAACACATGGAAGCCATGAAAAGTGCGGTAATACCCGTGGCTTTCTTTCTGATGGTCAATATGGGCTACTCCAATCGTTGCTGACATGGGTTTCTTTCTATTTCATATTCCTGAGCCTTGCACAGGAAGCGCTCTCACCACTGCTTCACGCATCACTCCGCAACGCTTGTCTTTTAGAGCTCCAGCCAATAAGAATTATACGTGCCGTACAAACTGAAAATTAAGGCGGTAGGAAGGGGACGTAAGAAGTGCTCCCCTCCCTCACCTTCTCCCCCCCCCCGCAGTGGCGGCTGCCAATCGTACAAGCGAGTATAAAGTATGAGAATAAGCCCCTTCAAAGCTACAGAAGAGCTTATTAGCAATAATGTGTGGGGAATTTTGCTGGAGAAAAAGAAGGGGCCCTAGGTGTTGGTGCCCTGGCGTCTGACCTTTTGCAAAGCAACCTAGGTGTTTCAGACAAGGCCTGGGCAGCGGCTTGCTGCATCTTTTCGTCCTTGCCCTTTAACGCAGTTGCAAACAATAGAGCCCGTTGAAAAATAAGTCCTAGCCGCAGACTTAGAGGCCATTTTACTGATACCCATTCTCGCCTCTCCCACCCCAAAGGCGACGACACATACTACGCCAGCTGCCCCTCGCGGTGCCCCACAGCTGTGGAAGACGCAGAGGGACCTGTTTGTGCCTGACGGTTGCGTTTTGTTGCTGTTTTCTTTTGCTTGTTCGTTTTTCGTGTCTCTCCACTCGCCAAGAAGGCAGTTTAGGGGCCTTTGCTGAGCTGTGACGCCCCGCACCAGCGCCAGCCGGTGGCCCCTCCCTGCAGCGGCGTTGGTGCTCTTCCTCTTCTTTCTCGTTTACGCATCTATAAACTGCACTGCTTAATCTCTATTTAGCATACAAAGATGTTCTTCAGCAGCTTTCCCTTTGCGGAAGACATCCCTGGCCAGGGTAGGCCGAGGGGGCCACCCAAGGAGAGAAACACAACCAAGTTCTACGAGCTCCTTGAGGTTGATAAGAACGCTTCCATACAAGGTCAGACTCCTCCTGCGTTCCTAAGTCCCCTTATATTCGCATTATGTGGTGGCAACCGCGACAGCACGAACGGCCGCAGCAGATGCTGTTCTAGCATCCGCAGGGGCGGCTGCAGCACCAAACTGTCTCATTGAAGGATTGGCTCCTATTTGACCCCATAGAGATGCAGAACAGCACTTCAGCGGAGTGGCTAAAGCAGAACTCTCGAAGTAGCAGCATACCGTGTCATTCATGTTCAAAACATGTCGGCTTCTGCTGGGGCGGGTGTATCGCCACTTGCTAGAGGCCGTCATCGGCATTCGACGGCGTCAGCAGCTGCAGTTTTAGAGGCACTCTGGACAGCGAGTGACAGGCCTTAGGACCCTCTGTCCTTGCTAGGAGATCTCACATTCACATTCTCTCCTCCGCGTTTTGAGCAGTGGCAGTGCAACGCCCTGTTAAACATGCACCTGCAGGAAGCGCGGTGAAGGGTGATGAGTTGGTAATTGCGGGCTTGTCTTTCTGATGCAGATATCAAAAAAGCCTACCGCAAGTTGGCGATTAAGCACCACCCGGACAAGGGAGGTGACCCAGAGAAGTTCAAGGAAATCTCGAGGGCGTACGCATCTTATCACCTCTGTTTCCCCTGTATATGCTCCCCGTACACCAATACGAATACATATGTGATGGTGCTGGTACCAGTCAACGGCGGCGTTTTGTCTGTATTATACCAGGCGTACTTGAAGCCGCATATCGAGTAGCTTTGATATTTTTTCATGGATTTACGGGATTCGAGATCTCGATGTGTATCTGCGCAGATATGAGGTGCTGAGCGACCCCGAAAAGAAGAGTGTGTATGATGAACTCGGAGAGGAGGGCCTTGAGGGTGGGGGAGCTGATACGGATCCCTCAGATATCTTTGACTTGTTCTTTGGAGGCAGGAGACCTGGGAGGCAACAGAGCAAGAAGAAGGGGGAGGACGTCGTCAGCACCATAAAGGTTACTCTTGAACAGGTGAATGTCGCATGTTGCTGCTTTTGCGAAAACGTGGGGGAGTTGTATATGCTGGCGGCGTCTACAGACTGAATTTTACACTGCAGCCACGTATGCATTGCTGGGGAGAATCTGGCATTTTTGGTGTGGGACGTTACGGGGGTGTTCACTTTCAGATATATAACGGTGCCCCGCGGCGCATGGCCATCAACAAGGACGTAATATGCAAAGATTGCGAAGGCAGGGGAGGCCCTCCGGAGGCGCTTATCACTTGTAAAGAGTGTGATGGGTCTGGCGTCAAGGTAATGGTAAGTTTGGGGTTGAGGAGCTGCGGAAACGCGCTGAGACAGTTCTTGCTACCAGGCGCATGTGCGTCATGCGTGAGCTGGAGGGTCACAAGATTTGCTTGATCTGTGTGTTGGTGGTACTGCTGCCAGATACGCCATTTGGGGCCCATGATTCAGCAGACGCAAGGCATTTGCCATGCATGCAAAGGCCAAGGTCGCAGCATTGAGCCTTCAAAGCGGTGCAAGGGCTGCTTGGGGAAGGGGGTTTCCAAGGAAAGGAAGATTCTGCAGATTTTTATCGAGAAGGGTGAGAGCAGAAAGCACAATCAATCTCCTTTTGTCTGCACGACAGCGTACCGAACAGGGTTCATGTATGGGATCTGAGAGCGGTGGTCAGGATTTTTTTCGGGAGCGCTGTGTTTTCGTATTTAATGCCTTTTCATGTGATCAGGTGTAAAGAATCATCACAAAATATACTTCAGGGGGGAGGCAGATGAGCGGCCTGGCGAAATACCGGGAGATGTCGTCCTTGTGGTAGAGCAGCAGGCAAGCCACGCTTATGCCCCTGTGTTGTTTTACTTACCCTTGTGTAAATTTCTGGGGTTGCTGGATGAGTAGGTCCCAGCGTCGATGTGAACAGCTCATGCGCGCATGCGCAGCATTGCGGTGTACTGCATGGACGCCGCTAGAGCCATGCGTATACAGTCGAGAATCCTCGCAGGTAGGATGTCTGTACAGTCAGTTTCTGTCTCCGATGCCCTGTTGTTGGCCTTTAGGAACACGAGGTGTTCAAGCGCCGCGGCAATGATCTGTTCATGACGAAAAAGATTTCCTTGTACGAAGCACTTTGCGGTTTCAAGTTCCTTCTTACGCACTTGGATGGCCGCCAGCTCCTCATTCAGGTGGGCACTTGCACTTGCTCTTGTTACTTCTTGCATAGTTGCAGAAAAGAATTTTTTTTGGAGGGCTCTGAACTCAAGGCAGGGATTAATTTAGTGTTTGGCCTTTCAAAAGGGGAGCTGAACCGCGAGCCTGAATTGGCATTCGGCTGTTTTTTTCATGGCGAATGCCGCCGCGGCTCGCGAAAACTGACGATTGGCCCCTGGTTTTTAACTGCCTATTAGGCTAAGTCGGGGCAGTTAAAACCAATGCCTGTTCGCATCTAGAGCCTTCAAAAAAAGTCTTCATTCGGTGCTTGCTGGATGTTTTCTCTTGGCCTGTATGCTGCCGAAACGCGGTACCCGTAGTGTGCGCGGCTTTTTCAGCCGGGAGTGCAAAAGGGTTTATGAGCTTTATGTATCCCAGGAAGGGGTCGTTCGTGTTTGAGGTATGCGCGGGTTTGTGCTTTGTCCTTTGGAAGAAGCTAGAGAGCGAACGCTGCTGCTGCTCCTCGTGGTGTGTGGATTTCTTGCAGGGAACACCCGGCGAAGTTGTCAAGCCTGATGCAGTGATGTGCGTGAAGGGGGAGGGTATGCCGAATCACAAGAATCCTTTCATTAACGGTGAGCAGATCCTCGTTGGTGGGACAGGAACGCCTAGCGATCTCAGCAATGCTTGGGCATTTTTTGAAGCCATGCAAGTGCTTACTTGCACGTTCTCCACAGGCCTCCTTTTAAAGTGACATTTTGCGTTGTTTGCGTTGTTTGCGTTGCATGCTCGCCCTCCAGGAGAACTGTACATTGTTTTTGACGTCGAGTTCCCCCAGAGGGTGCCGGAGTCTCTCCACGCCAAATTCCGCGAGATCCTCCCGCAGCCAGAGAATGCGCCCATGGTAATTCTGCTGTTTCATGCATGCGAGACGAGCAAAAGAGCATGGCATGCCCCTAGGAGGGTGGCACCCTGCGTCTTCACTGCGTCCCCATCGCGCACGCGGCTTTAACCGTCGGAGATGATGGCGTATAGAAAGCTCGCACACACCCCCTCCCCCGCACGAACAAGGGTGTTCTAGACATCTGGCTTTGCGTGGTTGCTCAGGTTGACGAGGATGACCCCAAGGTTGAGCATCACGTGTGCGAGAGCGTTACTCCCGAGGAACTGCGTGCTCGCCAGCAGCAGCAGCGCACTCAAGGTTCGGGCGAGGCTTATGAGGAAGATGACGAAGAAGGCCATGGAGGAGGCCCTCAAAGAGTTCAGTGCCGGCAGCAGTAATAGCGGAGGGTACAGACACCTGCACACCAACACCCAGTAGAGCTGTTCTGGCACGTAGAGGCAGCACTGCAGCTGCCCTGCCATGCGAAAGCCGTCTTCGCATCCTCGTTGTAGTAGTCCGCAGCGCTGCCGTTTCCTCAGTTTTCACAATTAGACTGGAGGAGGGTGGTGGCGCTGTGGGGGAAGAGTGTTGGGGGGGAGTTTAGTTGAGGGGAGATACATAGGTGGGGGAAAGTTATGGCAGTTGGAAGTTTGCTTTTGGACGGGAACGCCGTAGAGCGGCCACTACTTCTTCGGTAGTTACCGATGCGGCTTCCACAGCAGCAGGCACCTGCACATGTGCGGGTGCAAGCAGCTGGCGCTCATAGGCGGCTAGCATCAAAACAGTTGGCGTTGCATAGAAGGAAGAGCTCGGATGATTTTATGGCAGCTGTAGCCTTCCCCTGAATAGACTTTCGATTTCGCCGACTGCAAAGCTTATGTTACAGTAACACGGCTGTGCACTTGCACGGCCTTCTTGGAAGGCACCTTTTCAGATCTGTGTTGCTCGCATGTACTGGAAGTGGTTGCTAGGCGAACCGCGATAACAGAAGGCCTGCTGGGCGGAGCTAATGCGAATGTGGCCAGTTGGTGAAAGGGGATGCTCCTTGTTACCACGTGCACCTACAAAGTCTCTCTCTGCTTTTCGGAGAATTCGTAGTGGGGAGATGCAGCGAATAGCCGGATTCGGCAGAATCGCAAAGGGTGTTGCTTGAGACCGTGGGGTAGTTGAACGTGGCATAGCGTCATTGCACGTTCCTTTGCAGGTACCTCATTTTAAGGGGTATTTTGCTACGTCAAGAAACGGAAAGGTGTTGGCGATATCTTATGAACCTTTGCAAGCGGCCGTGGCACCAGGACTCGACTGAGCACGGTCCTTAGGCAAGCACGTGCAGGGGGAAGCTACCCGAAAAAGAGCGTGTTAAAGTGCCGTTTTCTTGGAAGAAAGAACAGCCAATCAAATATCCATAAATTAGCTGTAGAGTCCCACGAGGAGTGCTTTTCAAACTACCTCTATCTCCCCTCTGACGGTGCGTTCCCTCCGTTGCGGCTAATCCTAATCCGCGCCTGCTGGCAGGGTGTCTCACTGGGTAGAGGCCGGCATCCGCTCAAGTGCGTGACAGGGAGGGCTGCAAATTAGCCGTTGCACTGCAGAAGTGTGCTGCCCCTGGAATTCATTTCTGTCAGCACGCACGAGACGCAATCAAGGTTACTTTTCTGAACTACGATGCTTGTGCCTAGCCAAAAATCCCGTGCTTGTAGCTGCAGCAAGCCACGCAGCATGCAGCCCCAAGATGGGGCAGAATGGCCCTCTTTTTTCCACTACGAGACAGACAAGGCCCCGTCTCTGCGGGATGTCCCCTGCAGCAGCGGCAGCAAATGCCTTCTATCTAGGAATCCACATGCGGCGAGCTGTGTTTTTGTACAGCGACACAAATTAACCGCTTGGGCGCTTCGAGCCAGCACTCCTCGGCTTTGAAGGATACCAAAACAATCATCACCGGGTCGGCAGGCGCGCGCATACAACCCCCATCGAGTGGGTGAGAGACTCGGTGAAGCAGCACATTGCGAGATTCCTTCCGTTGCTGGTAAACTCAACGCAGACAAAGCCCCAAAGAGTCCCCCTTTCCAGGATCCACTGTTTGACCCCTGGTAACGACTACACTTGTCGTTGACAGCATGCCACACGTTCAATTTCCCTGTCAACTTTTCGGCTTCCTGGAAGATTTCTTACTACTCTTGCTGCCGGTTGCCATCGCACAAGAGCTTTTTTTCTGCTTGATCTTGCTGCTATCCGAGCTCTTCTCTACAACAATAATTCCAGGGGACGTCTCGGAAGTGCTGCTATCCGAAACGGTCTCAACTCCCACTGCTGCACGCGTTTCCTGCTGGCCTTCCGCGTCACTTTCGTCGCTCATCCCTGCCTCCGACTGGCTGTCACTCTCGGCGCTGCATTGCGAATTCTCCCTGCTTTCCCCCTCTTCACTCTCGCTAGCGCTCGTCATGCCTTCGCCCTCGGAGACTCGGCTGCTAGCAGCGACATGCTCCGCGTCGATCCGCTTCTCGTTCTCTTTGCTAGACACGTCGCCCACTGCTGCGCCTTCTCTCCGAGCCTCTTCTTCTTGAGGCTTCTGATCCTTCACACTCGCTGGTGCCTCATCAGCCTCCTCCTTCCTTTTACGGGATCTACGGTGCTGCTCCTTTCTCTTGTCATTTCTGCTGCTGCTGCGGCTGCTGCTGCTGCTACTCCTACCTCGCCTGCTGTCGACAGAGTCTCGACTACTGTCTCGGCTATCGACGCTGGTCCTGCCGCGCTTCCTGCCACGGTGCCGCCTGTCCTTTCGAGATTTAATAAGGAGATCTTTGCGCGCCTTGCTAGACCGACTGGTGTGTTTCCTCGAGCGTCTCCGATCTAATGAGGAACTAACGCTTCTGCGTCTGTGTTTCTTGCTGCTCCTACTGTCTCGACACTTTCTCCTGTCAGGAGTGCGGCTCCTGCTGCGACTCCGACGAGACCGCTTGAGCTTGGTGGCATGTCTGCTACGCCTTGCGCTGCTGTGGCAGCAGCGGCTCACACTGCTTGCACTGCTGCTGCTGCTAATACTCCGTCGACTTCTACGCTCGTTGCGGTGGCTGCTGCCCTTACGGTGTCGACTCCTCGTGCTAGGCCTCCTTCTCCTTCTTCTGACACTTCTGCTCCAACTGCGACTCGAGCTCCTGCTGAGATCGCTGCTGTAGCGCCTCCGCCAGCGATGATGGTAGCGGTCATCAGAACTCCTTCTTCTCTCGCGGCTATGACACCGCTGCCGCAAGATTGAAGGTGTTGAGCGTGAGCGCCTTAGGTCTGGACTCCGTTCAGCCATACGTTTGCGCTCGCTGCAGCCAAATGAGCGGCATAAGGGAAAGATGGAGAGCAGTCAACAACTAGAAACATGCAAGTGCAACATGGAGACAGACACGCCCCACGGTCAACACCAACGTCGTACGTCCCTCCAAAAAAGCATAGAAAGTGGTAATTTGAACACTTCACAGCCATCCTGCATATCTCCAGGTAGGTGCAGTGGTGACTACACACAAGGCCTTCTCTGATATATGGCAACACAAAACAACAGACGCCAGAACGGCCGTCTACAGCCACCTAAAAAGGAACCAACTTGGCTAGCCAGCTGAATGTGCAGCTGCTGCCCTCCGCAGCCTCGGTATGCCAAAGCAAAGCTGGCGGGTGAAGCTTCTTCTCATGCAGTGCGGACTGCTACAGCACTAGGGAGTTCGATGCATGAATGCAGCATGGCCCCTGTGCACCAGCATGGACAAAAGCGAGCAACAAAACTTTGTCCTTACTTTGCTCTTGGCGTTTTGATTGAATTGTTTGCTTGTTGGAATTGTATCAAAATGAAAACTTACACATCTTAACCTGTCAAGCTGTAGTTGGATACTGAGGTATAGGGTACTTTTGTATGCGGTTTGTCGGAGTTCGGAAGACTGCTACATTTGCATGCTGGCGCTGCGGTTCGGCCTCTAAAGTTTCTCCCGCGTCATTTCCGCAGGAGCGGTATTTTGGTGCACCTTGCATGTTTGCTTACTGAGTACGCCGAGAGGCGAACATAGTCTGTCAAAGACTTACATTTCTTCTCGCTTCTCATACATGAGCCGCTGCACGCAGACAAGCAGCAGAAATAGCGAAACGAGCAAGAAATTAAGAAAATTCAGACCACATCCCGCCTGCGTCATCTCTACAGTCGAAAACGAAAGTCGGCAGCCCCTGCATCCCGAGGACTCCTCAGACAAGGCCTAATAGGGAAACGCCAATGAAGCTACAACGGGGTGGAATTACGAATTGTGGAAATACTTCTCACTAAATAGTGGTATACTTATGCTGCACGATATCTAAGAGTCCTATTCTTCGAAAAATTCATACCATTTGGTCTGGAGTCTTCGGATCGCTATTCGCCAAATGAACGGTTACGCGATAGCCCATGAACAATTCGTTCTGGAGCTCCTTCATTGCCCTCTCTCCATCCTCCTCCTTTTCGAATTCAAAAAAACAGTAGCTCCTACATGGCAGTGTGAGAGGAAAGAGCAACAGGAAGCGGTGTCAAACATCCAGGTGGAGAGTTGCTTGCTTCCGTCTGGTTGAGCACTCCGAGCAACACGAGCGAAGATGCGCATGAATGTACTACCATACTAGAACGCAACAAGACTCATCTACCGACGAGCCTCACCCTCAGATAAAATGTGCAGCAGCTTGCCTGGGTGTTCGGTGCACATGATGCACGGGGAGGTACATCTCCTTAACGACCCCCACCCTTGAAAGGAAATTTTTCACGTCTGAGGGTGTGGCGCCCTGCGCGACTCCTCTTAGCATGTACGGGAACCGGCGCATACTCCGTATTGCCTTGATATTCTCTGCCATCCACAGCTCCCCCGCCCGCGTGGGGGACAACCTGTCAAAATTCATTGCCGTGGCTGCTGCGTGCTCTTCTGCAGTTTCACGGGGAGATCCTGGAGCAGGGGGAGAGCTTACCCTGCTCCGAGAGAGAGACACCGAAAAACCACGCCCCTGGGGCGGCAGCTGAGTCATAAATAACATCAGAAAGCCGGAGGGCAAAGTCGCCTCCTCCCCCTGATGCAAAGGCTCAGGCTATGAAGCCTGGCCACTGCCGCCACTTCAACCAAGAAACCCACACTGATCAGTGCACCAGAGAAAAGAAAAGTCAGAGAAAGTCATTTGGATGAAGGTGTAGCCTTCGGAAGCAGAAACCTGCACGGGCAAGAGCGGGAAGCTGAGGGCTTCGGCTGTTGATGCTAACGGCCGGGAGATATGATCAGGCAAGGGAATACCCCATAGATTCCTCTGGAGAAGCTCTCAAAAACATCAAGTGCAGCCAAATATTCGGATCAGACACATCGCATATCTCCAGCGCTCTAGAGGCTGAACCCTGATCAGTCTTCTGTGCCAG